CTCCAAAGCACCTGAGGGTAGAACAAGAAGCAATGGGTGGAAACTAATCAAGGAGAGAAGCAACTTAGAACTAAGGAGAAATTTCCTGACAGTTAGAACAATTAATCAATGTAACAACTTGCCTCCAGAAGTTGTGAATGCTCCAACCCTAGAAGTTTTTAAAAAGATGTTGGATAACCATTTGTCTGAAGTGGTGTAGGGTTTCCTGCCTAGGCAGGGGGTTGGACTAGAAGACCTCCAAGGTCCCTTCCAACTCTGTTATTCTGTTCTGTTCTGTTCTGTTCTGTTCTGTTCTGTTCTGAATGTCTTAGGGATCAGATGGCTTAATGACCATGGCTTAGCATTGTTTTTGGCTTCCTCCTCTTCATAAAATACAAACCTAAGGTTGTCTAAAGACTCGTCCTCCCCCACCCCAGACAGGTATCAAGTTTCTGTTTAGAATAAACTCTTAACCCAGTTCATATACATTGCTTGTGAACTTATCCTTAGGCTAAATATTGGTACAAACTCTAAGATTACATTTTGCCGTGAATAAGTAGTCATTCTATTGCCAAGATAACAAATATGGAGGTGAATGAGGCAATTCACAGAGATTTAACATAGGTGGAAGGAAATAACCTCTTCTTGCAATTTTTAACTTTCAAGTGTCATTCTGAGAGTGTTCTGAGTCTCTATTCCAATGATTAAAAAGTGAAAACTAAAAGATGAAGTATCAGCTGCTGTCATCGGAGCTGCATGTCAAGGGTGTGTGCAGTGGAAATTGACTTAGAAGGGGAGGGGGATACTGCTTCAAGCTTGCAACTAATACCACTTGCCAGCTAGATCATTTTTTAAAATGGTAAATCTGTGCCCCTGACACAGTTGCTGCTGCTTGGGCTGACAGAGTTTATTGGTGATACTAGTATCTTAATAATATCCCAAATTAATCATTAATGATCAATTAAGAATCAGTCTTCGATCTGAATGATTATTAGATAAATTATTATGAAAATGATTCACTCATTGAGAGTGAAATATATAATGTAATGTAAAGGTAGTAAGTAAAACAAGAAGTCCAGTGAATTGATTTATCTTTGCTAGAATAATAAACTAACTGAACTCTATGTTTACTCTTATGGAATTTATTTTGCAACTGACCTGCTATTCTGACCACACTAATCTGCCCAGTCCAATAATTCATTGTATCCAAAGCCACAGGACCATGATGGCTAACCCCCAAACGTTTCAACATCATAGGGTAGAACCCTCAAAATCATGAAAATGATTTATAATATAAAGGATACCAAAAAATGCTTTGATTCCTAAAAATTTACTGGTCACCCTGACATCGTATTTCCCCCCCAATATGAATAGGCTTAAATCTGCTTAAGTTATGTTTTGCTTGGCTTATTTCTGAGAAAACATAGGCCTCACCATGCCAGGCACTTTCATTTTATACCGAATTGAACCCACACCCAATTAAATTAATTTAAAGAAGCAATGGGTGAAAACTAATCAAGGAGAGAAGCAACTTAGAACTAAGGAGAAATTTCCTGACAGTTAGAACAATTAATCAATGGAACAACTTGCCTGCAGAAGTTGTGAATGCTCCAACACTGGAAATTTTTAAGAAGGATAACCATTTGTTGGATAACCATTTGTCTGAAGTGGTGTAGGGTTTCCTGCCTATGCAGAGGGTTGGACTAGAAGATCTCCAAGTTCCCTTCCAACTCTGTTATTCTGTTCTATAATGCAATTTTAAGAGAGAAACATTATTGGGCATATATTATCACCCAGTTGCAGGCCTTTGGTAAGAAACACTTTTCATTCCATCCAGTTTGTCATTCTTGCAGTCTTTTATTTTCTGTTGGATTTATTGTGATTTATTTGATTGTTGTGAGTGGCCCAGAAAAGAGGAGTCAGGGAAAGAAGGCAGGCTGCTCCACCCCTTGGCATCTTTGCAGGCTGCATGGCTCTGGCTCAGAAGCGAGCAGCATTTTTAGAGTGGCCACAATTCAATGCAGCTGCTCTGAAAATGGTGTCCTCTTCTGAGGCAGAGCTATGCAACCTACGGATGCCAAGAGGAGGACTGGTCTGCTCCTCTTCCACAATGCAAACTCTAGACCACCAGAGCTCTTCCAAAGATAAATATACAATCAGTGTTTGGGGATGGGATGGGGATGGGGTGGGGAGGCCGGTATAGAACCCAATGTGATGGGAAGCAGAGTTGATCTTTTGTTCCTCTGCTGTTTGGACAGTTTCCTTTTTGCTCAGGTGGAAAAAGCTTGTTTTCAATTACAAAAGCTTGTTTTAGATTACAAACAGATACCACACCAGTTAGTAATTTTGGTAAGCAGGTAATTGGCCAGTAGTTACCTGCTGCTGCCCCTTTTGTTGGATCTTTCATTGTAAGGTAGGTTTTGCCAGATGTTAACCAATTTTCAGTTTCACCTCCTTTCAGTATGTTGTTAAACTGCTTGGCAATGATTGGATCCAGACCAGTCAGATGTTTCAACCAAAAACCATGCAGTTCATCATCTTCACCTGGTCCTGAACAATTCTTGATCTTCCGTGTCCCTTTCTCCAATATTTGTCCTGTTATTGCAACTTCTTTCATTTCAGCCTCTTTTTATTCTCATCCTCCTCCTTTATCCAAGTGTGCACTAATGTCAATCATATTTCAGTTTAACAAAATTTAAATGTACTTGATACAATTTATTTAGCCATTTTCAACTTCTTGTCAGGGCTCCAAGTAATAGATTCATTGCAAGCAAAAACACCGAGGCCGGTAGATTCCTCAAGGAATAGCTTTAATGGAAATATCAAATTGGCACATATGTGGTGAAAACCAACTCTGAAGGCCCCTTGGTTTTCACCTAATTAAAAGTTTTCCCCTCAATCCCAAACAATCGGTCATGTGGTCCAATCAAAGCAGCGTCTGCTGGTCTGATGATGTCACTCCTCCTTCCTCTGGCCAGGTGTGAGAACGTCCTTGGTTTCATGTGACTTTGACCTCAGTTTGTGGAGCTCTGTACAAAGAAATAAATGGAAATAGCCTTTTTTTAAAAAAAAAAAAAATTTTGATTTATATGCCGCCCTTCTCCAGAGACTCAGGGCGGCTTACAATGCGCTAAGCAATAGCCTTCATCCTTTTGTATATTTATACAAAGTCAGCTTATTGCCCCCACAACTAGGTCCTCAATTTACCTACCTTAGAAAGGATGGAAGGCTGAGCCAACCTTGAGCCTGGCGAGATTCGAACCTGCAGTAATTGCAGGCAGCTGGTCTTAATAACAGGGTGCTTTAGACCACTGTACTACCAAGGCTCCTTCTTGATGTGATTTTGACAAAATTCAGTTATTTCCTTACATTCAATCATAGTACATTTCTGGGCTACCTTCATGAACTATTACAATAAAACTATTATCATGTTTTATTGATGTTGAAGCAATGTATCTGCTATTGGAAAAGTAAATTTCATGCTTAGAATCATGAGGAAAGGAGCTGATAATTCATGTATCAAGTACAGAAAGTAATTGCTAGGATGCTCTTGGACAGCCAAGAATGGGATGGATGGATGGACTGGATGGAAACTAATCAAGGAGAAAAGCAACCTGGAATTAAGGATAAATTCATGACAGTGAAAACAATTCACCAGTTGAATGTCTTGCCTTTAGAAAACTATACAGCCACTTGTCTGAAATAGTATAGGGCGTTGTGTGCTGAAAGCGTGCACACGCTAGCACCCATAATGCAATGTGTGTGCGATGCCCCACTTGGTGGGCCCCATTCCTGTGCATGCCCACATGACCCCCATGCTCCCTTTGCCCACCCGTGCATGACCCCCACCCCCCCCCCATTTTGGGCCTATCAAGCCACTCTGCAGCCTCCTGGGACCAAAAACGTGCCATGGGGGAGCGCACTGCACCACAAACCCCCGCACCCCATTTTGGGCCTAGCAAGCCTCTCTGCAGCCTCCTGGGACCAAAAATGTGCCATGGGGGAGCGCACTGCACCACAAACCCCCGCACCCCATTTTGGGCCTAGCAGGCCTCCCTGCAGCCTCCTGGGACAAAAAAAATGGCCACAGGGGGCACGCCGCACACCTGCATGACCCCCACATGATTCCCCACCCTGCACGTATGCACGCACATTTCACGCATGCGCCCCACCCCCTGCGCATGAGCAGTAGCAATCTGGAAATTTGCTGACCATGTGTGGTGGAGCTGAGCTGGGGTGACAGCTCACATGCCTGCAGAGAGGGCTCTGTGTGCCACCTGTGGCATGTGTGCATGTGTATAGGGTATTCTGCTTGAACAGGGGGTTGGACTAAATGACCTCTAATAGATCTGTCCAGCTCTATTCTGATTGAGCCAAAAATCCAGATCACAAATCCCTACTAAATCCTTGGTATACCCTGTTCCTTTCAAGAAAAAGATAGGGGGGAAAAAAGAAGGTGAGATGTGATTAATTCAGGTATCCCCGAAATAAGCTGTTCCTGGTAGTTACCAACAATTCAAAAAATATCAGGTGTTTCAACAAACAAGTTCCAATGCCACTTAAACTAGTTCAATAAACAGTTCCTTTTCCCCAAAAAGTCTTTGGAAACCATACCCAACAATGAAATCTTTAAGTGATTTTTCAGCAGACAGTTCATCGAGTCATTTGCCAAATACATTGGGGGAAGTTGTTACAATTAAACTGAATATTGCAATCCTCCTTGATCTGCGTAATACTGACGCCCAAGAATCAAGTGGCAAATTTTAAAGACAAATGAGTCTTGTTTGACTCACAGGTTTCTGGAGGCCACTTCATGAACATCATGTAATAATGTGTCACTGAGGTTTAAGACACTTCGGGGCCTCATTTTTGAACCTTATTGTCTTCCTAAAGCACACTTTTCTCCTCTGCCAAGCTGCATATCTCATAATAGGAGACTCCTCTCTGCTTTGTAGGATGTTTGATTTGGCACAGCATACAGAAGGATTTGTCAGAAATGGTGCTACAGGAGTATCTCCCTCTCTCCTGCTGTCTTTGTTCCATTGAAGTTAAACACTTTGAGATAAGCAAGCAATTGTTCTCTGCCAAGCTTCGTAACCAGCTGCAGGTCTGTAATTCTCATCATATTATTTTTTAAAAAATGCATTGTTCAATATAGCCTTATCCTGAAACCTGTTTTACCAGGCTGCTTACCTTCAGCAATCTGCACCCATCCACCACTCTTAATCTCTGTTCCATATGTTTTTGTTTATTTAAGGCCTCAGGCAGACATCATTACAAAATTTAGGGGGAAATCTGAAAATGACCCCAAAGGTTTTATTCAAACAGAAATCATTTGTCATAATGAGCCTGCTTGTAACCTGTTGACCCTGGAAGCTCAATTAATTTCACACAGGAAAAGTGGTCACAGCCTCTAACCCCTCCTGCTGGAGAAATTCCCATTAAATAGGGAGGGGAAGAGGTGGTTATATCCCAGTATTTGAAAGGGGGGGGGGAATCGGATGGTATGGTAGTAAATGATGGCATGGTACAGCTTTGAAAGGGTAAAAGGATAGATGCATTATATTTCTTTACCTATTAAATTTTATCTTTAAAAAAATAGAGAAGCTGTACGAGATTTAATAGTGGTCTTATGGCCTGAAAGTCAATAACTTTTTTCCTATAACCTGCACTGAGGGAAGAGAGATTTCAAGCTTTTGTGAATGTAAATTAAAAAATGTGAACATGTCTGTATTAACTCTAAACACTACGGCAACAAAGGCTGGTTCCAATAGAAGAAGATATCTGTAGCTCGGGGTTGAACTGTGCAACTCTTAGTACTCTCCAAGCTAGGTTGTTTGCTTCCAGATGTTTTATTACCCAACCAGAAAACATCATCAGTGGGAGTGATTGTGGGATTTATTATCTGTTTATATATAGTAGTTTGTACTGCCAGTTTTGGTGAGAATCTGGTATCCTGCTGTTTAATTTTTTTCCACTATATAAGTATGATAGCAATAGCACTTAGACTTATATACCGCTTCACAGTGCTTTACAGCCCTCTCTAAACGGTTTACAGTCAGCATATTGCCCCCAAAATCTGAGTCCTCATTTTACCCTCCTCTGAAGGATGGAAGGCTGAGTCAACCTTGAGCCTGGTGAAATTCAAACTGCCAAATTTCAGACAGCCGGCAGCCAGCAGAAGTAGCTTGCAATACTGCACTCTAACCATTGTGCCTCTGTGACTCTTCTGGGAATGCTATAACAAAATTTCTGTAGACTTTCTTTAATAAAGTATTAAATAGTGTTGAGATGGTGAGGGACCAAGAAAATTTATTAAGGCTTATTTTTCAAATCAGAAGCAATTACATTGTAAAGATAGAAGTAACCAATCTGTTTCTTTTTTTAAAAAAATCCAGTCACTCCTGTAGGTAATATGTGTCTTCTTCAATCTCAGGTCCACTTGAGAGTTCTGTGTTGTCTCTTAGCTGTTCTTAGCATCACACTCCTCTGAAAAAAGAGCTATGACATTGTTCCTGGTATCTGTTGGAGCCACTCTTCCTGTTTAGGAGTCCCAGGCCCTAGTGGTCCTATTACTATTAGGACCACTTTGGACTTTACTTTCTAAATAATTTCTGGTTTCTCCTTCAAGTTCTGGTATTTCTCCAACTTTACATACTCTTTCTTCCTAACGTTGCAGTTACTTTGCACCACTACTTCTATCAGCACTGTTGTCTTCTAGTTCTTGTCTACTACCACAATGTTAGGTTGATTGATCAGAACCTGCCTGTCTTGATCTGACAGGAACATAGCTCTGTTATTTTCCAGGACCTTCTGTGGAACCTCCTATCTGGGCTTGGGAGGTTCTAGCCCATATACTGTGCAAATGATCTTGTATACAGTGACAGCTACTTGAATGTGCTGTTCAGTGTATGCTATTGCATCTTACATCCTATCACTCTGTGTTGGATTGTCTTGGAGGTCTCTCTGCATAGTCTATATCTCAGCTACTCAATAATGGTAGACCATTGCTTCTGTGAATCTGGTGCTTAGTGCTGTTGTGACCTAGGCTTCCTGAGTCATTAAAACACACAAGTAGTCCAGGGGTGAAATGCTCCCAGTTTAGATCGAATCACCCGTTCCAGTAGTGATGGAGGTGGGTGGTTCAGAGAACTGGTAGCAAATTCTCTGCCCCCCCCCAATTGCCCAGCTGAATCACGCAATCATCAGAGGCTTTTGTTAATTTTGAAAAGCATTTTTTCTACAACCTCTTTGACTGAAAAAATGCTTTTAAAAGTTAAAAAAAAAAGCCTCTGATAATCACGCACCTCAGCTGGAATCATCAGAGGCTTTTAAAAGCATTTTTTCTACAATCTCTTCGGCCGAAGAGGTTATAGAAAAAATGTTTTTAAAAGGAAAAAAAGCCTCTGCCAATCAGACAAGTCAGCTGGGATCGTCAGAGGCTTTAAAAAAAAGAAAGAAAGCCTCTACCAATCAGGCAAGTCAGCTGGGATCGTCAGAGACTTTAAAAGCATTTTAAAGCATTTCAGCCGAAGAGGTTTTAAAAGTAAAAAAAAAAAAAGTTGGCCATGCCCACTCAGTCATATTACCCACACACACACCAAGCCACGCCCACAGAACCGGTAGTAACAAATTTTACATTTCACCACTGAAGTAGTCCCAAAAGCCTCTTTTATTGCAACAGCTGTGAATTACGTTCATTCACAGCTGAGTCCCAATTAGTTGCAAAAAGTCCTTCAGTAGAAATCCTTTGGGATAATCACCAACCTTTATCTCCCTTGACACTCTGCCAAAGACCTACTTGGCAAAGCCACACGGAGTCCAGAATCAAACAGAGATGCCAATCAGGAACAGAATTAACAACGTTGCTTCCCTGCAAAGGGCCCACGTGCCTTTCCTCCTCTTTTAAGCCTTATGGGAAGGGCCAATCATCTCCAGGTCTTACTCCCGAGTCATCCCTTTAGTTTTAATTGTTGTTGCCTTCTGGCAGCTCTGTGCATGCACACACTAGGAACAGGCTCCTCCTGTTCCTCTATCCGATTCTGGAAGCTCCGGAGTCCGTGCATAACTCCCAGATGGCCCTGGCCCCATTTCTGCCTCCAATGCAGAGCCCTCGTCTGAGCCTTCCCCAGACTACAGGACTGGCCCATGATCCTCCCCAGCCTTCTCACTGTTCAACTCCACTGCCAGCTCCTCAGGCTGCTGGCAGACCACAAGTGCCTCTTGTCCCATTATGATCAGTGTCCCAGAATTGTCTTTTGATTCAGCTCTTTCCAACTATTGGTAGGATTTCCTAAAATCAGTCACTTCATTTATCTGCTGATAATGCACACCAATTAGAGAGTTGTCTTGCCATGGCACTTCCTCTGCTTGATCTTCCTCCTATATCTGCTGCTGTCTTAGTCATTTTCTTAGCAACTCATTTTATTGATGTACTCCTGGATGTTCTGGTTTTAATCCAGGGCAGTGAATGTCCAGAATGTAATACGTTGTGGACAATCAAATTGTGACAGCAGCTTTTTTCTTCATTGTGTTGAAATGTTGGGTAAAGTAGCTGTTTCTCAGTTAGTGTGGATGCAGGTTTTCTGCTCATCTGTAGAACAACTATAACTATAAAACTATAACTATACTGAGCCATAAAGTCTCAGTGGTTAGAATGCAGTATTGCAGGCTAATTCTGTTGACTGCCAGCAGTTCAATTCTCACTAGCTCAAGATTGACTCAGCCTTCCATCTTCCGAGGTTGATAAAATGAGGGCCCAGATTGTCACTTAGCAATTGCTAAGTGCTATTGCTATAACTATAGCTATATGAATATAAGTATAACTAACTATAACTATAAAACAAATTTTCCAATGAAATTAGTAAGATTCTCAATATTTTTCTAAATGTATATATTCAGTGTTGTGTGTTGTGCATATTTTTTCCAATATAGTCTTGTAAAAAAGAAAAAAAAAGACCTAACACAATATACATATAATTCCTAATGTAACTTTCTTTTTTGAATATGTACCACTTAGGTATTTTTCCCTCTCATGGGCATCTTCTGAGCAAATAAATGCAGCTAAAACATAATCTAGGACTGGGAAAAAACCCAAGTAGACTTTTCCGGTAAATTCTATAGTTTTGTTTCCCCAAAGATAAGAAGTTTAATGCCTATAAATCTAAAGGAAGGAACCCTGAAACATGAAAGAACCCTGTATAATAGGGTCAGATCAGATAGCAAACTTTTTTTTAAGCTAAATATAAGAGAGTCTATAGCAGGCTGTTGGATAGCAACTTTTCAGGTATGTTACGCTACTACTTGCTTTTGTTCCTGTTCGTTAATCTTGTTGGTGGAAACTAATGAGAATGGAGTTCTACAATATTTCATGATCACTTCTGCATTATAGGATTGACCTGCTGTGGGCCAAAGCAAAGACATTTTTGTCTATCGCAAACTGCATATATAGGGAAGAGGAGAGGCAGCTGCATTGATAGATGCCCCTCCTTCCAACAGCTGTGATATTTATGAGCTTTAGGTTTTTGACGTGCTATAACTTGCTCAAGGTAGCCTGGCAAATCTAAGCAAATAAATGCAGGGATTCTGGTGGATCTACTAGATAGATGGGAAAAAGATAATGTTCATGTTATTTCTGAATGGGAGAAGCTGTTCTTGAGCTGCTCCATTTAGTAACAGAGCAAGAATATTAGCTTAAGTTCACTCTGCTTGTGAACAGACCAAATAAATATCCTTCACAGACTTTCCAACTGACCAATAGTTCTTACCAAGTAATTTGAGCATCGCCATCTTTGTTTCTTGTTGACAGCTTCATAATACCCTTTTGTTATTTTGTTTCAATGAAACTTCAAGGTGCCCATGTGGATGCATTGCCATGTCTCAAGAAATCAGTATGGTACAGTTTTTGTCTATTGCACAGAATGAAAGGCATAGAAAATGAACTGGAAGAAAAAGTATCAAACTTTAAAGGTAACTGTAGATAAATTATCAAAGGATTGGGTCATTCTAGTCCAAAATGATGTTTGTCTATCATGAAAAAATGAGATGTTAGAAGATGTGACCCAGGATAACTTGAATGAGACTAGACATGATTCAGCAGAATAAAGAGTGGTCCAATTTGGATATGAGCTCAATGCTGAAAATCCTTTCTGGTGATTTTGATGAGGCTGAACCTCTTGAAATGTGATTTGCCTAAATAAATGGAAAATAACACTGGTACTATATGTTTATAGTTTAGGGGTTTTGGTTTGTGTTCATTCATGGAAATAGTATAATGAATCTTTCTGTTCTGGCCTTGTGTCTTCTCCATTGTCTATTACTGAATCAAGAAACAAAACAAACTTTTATAGTGAGCAAGGAAAAATATTAAGGAGCTGTATCCAACTTCAGATATCCTGTTATTGCAAAATAGACAAATAGCCAAGTTTTCAATATGGCTAGTAAGTCTCTAAATGTAGAAGGAAATTTGAAACTGTGATTGGATTTTTTTTTATTTTTTTTTTATTTTTATTTTTTTTGGAAGTATAATCCTACACAAGAAGTCTGAGAACTTTTCATACATTGGTGATGTATACCTTCTGTATATAGGATCAGATACTACTTTTATTCCATTTTTTTAAAAAAGAGAAAGCTAATGATAACACCTTTTGCCTCTCATTATTTAGCAATAATTATGAAATGATGTGTTACATTGTATATTCAATCTGACAGCATTTAAATCTTTTATAGACAACTGAATATTCATTCCTAGAGAACATGGAATAATACACATTGTGTACATGTATGCATGTAATACATGATTTTCCTATCATTTCTGACATTAATGTTCACTAATGAAGATAAGTCACCTAAATTCTCTCCTATACTCACCTGTGTGTACTAATGACATAACGGTAATATTGAGAGATGAAATTGCATGAAACTATATCTAAAGTCAAATATGCCCTCCATTCCCATTTTCCCTCTCTTGTTATTTTGAATGCTTTATTTTGAGTGCCCTAGAGGAAGCAACCTCTATTCCGTAGCATCCCTTTATGGCAGAGGTGAAATGCTCCCAGTTCGGACCCGATCGCCTGATCCGATAGCAATGGCAGCGGGTGGTTCGGAGAACCGGTAGCAAAAATTGCTGGCCCCCTCCCATGCCCAGCTGAGCTGCGCGATCATCAGAGGCTTTTTAAAAAACTTTTAAAAGCATTTTTTCTACCACCTCTTCAGCCGAAAAAATGCTTTTAAAAGTAAAAAAAAGCCTCTGATGATCGCGCGGCTCAGCTGGGATCATCAGAGGCTTTTAAAGGCATTTTTTTCTGCAACCTCTTCAGCTGAAGAGGTTGTAGAAAAAAAATGCCTTTAAAAGCCTCTGGCGATCCCAGTTGAGTTGCCTGATTGTCAGAGGCTTCTAAAAGCATTTTTTTCTGCAACCTCTTAAGGTTGTAGAAAAAATGCTTTTAAAAATTAAAAAAAAGGTTGGCTACGTCCACCCAGTCACATTACACTCCTCCCCCCACCAAGCCACGCCCACAGAACCGGTAGCAACAAATTTTACATTTCACCACTGCTTTATATCCTTTCTTCCCAAGGAAGCAAGGCCTCAGGTGGATTTATCTTGTTTATTTGGTAAGAGGGGCAAGAAAGTTTAAAAATCAAAATTACTCCTTAATCTATCAATGCCTGCAATAAAAAAAAATTAGGGTTTTTAAGACTATCAATTCCATTGATGTCACAATGTCTCCAATTATGACTCATGCATACCTCAGGCTGGGGAAAAAACGGCTATCCCTGACTTTATAGAAATTCTATTCCAGATTTTGTTTTCGTTTTTAACAATGCTCAGGAACCCATGACAGTTAAATCCTCTTTTCTTTTCTTTTCTTTTCTTTTCTTTTCTTTTCTTTTCTTTTCTTTTCTTTTCTTTTCTTTTCTTTTCTTTTCTTTTCTTTTTTTCTTTTCTTTTCTTTTTTTCCTTTCCTTTCCTTTCCTTTCCTTTCCTTTCCTTTCCTTCCCTTCCCTTCCCTTCCCTTCCCTTTCCTTCCCTTCCCTTCCCTTCCCTTCAGTTCATTGTTTAGGAATACAATTCTGCCTGAGAACTTGATGCCTTCTCTACATCAGAAATGTTTTGACAACAGAGCTAAAATAGGTTTGCCATATTTTGCCAGGTGGCTGAGGGGAAGACAATTAAATTCTAACCCATTAAAGATGTTGCCAAATGAAAGATTAGCTTCACAAAGACAGATACAATGAAACACCTGAGAAAGAGAGAGAAAGACAGAGAGAGAGACACCTTGAGCTGATGTCCCAGTTCTGGTCTCTAAGGACAAACTTAGGTAACATAAGAGGAAAGTAAAATAACAAGAGATTAGGCAAACAAGCAACCAAGTCTAACAATACTAGAGTGGATGCACTAACTCTATCCAGGTCTCAACAAAAGTCATCAGCAAAGTGACAAGGCCATTTCAATCCCATGCTCAACCCTGTTAAAAATGGTCAAGATAATGTCAGGGTTTCAAGTAACACCCCCAACAAAATTAAACTCCAAGGCTTGAAGTTCCTCAAAGCTAAATTGTATTAGAGATGTCTGGGAAAACCCGAATCTGAGAGCTTCCGGGTTTTCCACACCCAAAAGAAAGTTCAAGACCTTGCCCCTCTCCCACATGTCCACCACACATCCGATCAGGTACCATCTGGAACAGAAGATATCTCCTCATTCCTCTCAGTACAGCTGCAGGGCACAATGGCCTTGACTTTCTGTAAAGAATTTTATTGTGACTACATATCTTCTTCCCTCTATGCAATCCCCCCTCCCAATTTCCCACAGTAGGATTTGTGGCAGGCCTGAAGCCTGAAGGCAAAAAAGTAGAAAGATGACTTCCAGGTCTGACAGATAATCTGCTTCTTCTAGGGTGCTCTACAGTTGAATTCTTAGCATCTGTACAACAGCCTTCCCTAATAAAGGAATGATGGAGATTGGGTGATAGGTGTCAAAACTAGGTGAATCTGAGTAGGGCCTCCTAAGGCGGGACACCATCTCCTTCAAGGCTGCTTGAAGAATACCTCCTTATGAAGTGAAGCATTGACAACATCTCAGATCCAGGCTGCCTTTCCTTGTTCCCCAATCCTTGAAGGAGAAAGGAGGGGGATAAATCAAACTTATAGGTGCAGAGATCATGCTGGAGAACATCCTATTCACTTCATAAGTGTCAACAACAAAACAAGTACATAAGCATCAACAACAAAACAGATAATATAATGTCTTTATCTATTACTATTAACATGATTAATAGAATCTACAAAGACCTTGGTGAATCTGATCACCTTTATTTGAAAATGCTGTACAAATGACCCCAAGTGGCTAAGCAGGTGATCTATCTTTTATCAGTAATCTTACTTTCTATTAGCTACTCTAATTCAGCTCTAATTCAGCTCTGAGCCCTTCTCCGCCTCCATAATCTATCACCGCATATCTCACAACTTTTGCTACTCTTATATAAACCTCCAGCCTAATCTGACTGCCTTAACTCTCTGGTGCTGTCCTCTAACCAGGTCATGAATTAAGGTACATTGTACCTTAAGGGCAATTTCCATCAGACTTTATGTGACTTTTTGTTTTTTTTTTTAACCAGGTACAATAAGTTCTGCTATCCTCCTCTTCTAGCCGAGTTGCAGGAAATAAAGGTAAACCAGTGGGGTTTTATTTCTCCTTCTACTCTTTCTCCCCACTTCCCACAAAAGGTTAAGAATAAAGAGACTCCACCAGTCAAAAATCATAATAAATGCAGTTTGTCTGAGCAAAACATCAGGTCATAATTATTGCCATCATTAAAGAAAGGGTTAAAATCTGGAAAGGGATTTCTTAAACCAGTTTACCCTTGAGAGTGCAGAAAAATCTATACAGGTAGTTCTTGGCTGACAACTGTTTGAAGTTGCAATGGCACTGAAAAAAGGTATTATGTCTGGTATTTATACTTACAACCATTGTAAGCATATATTAATGACAATTGCAGTGTCCCAGATTTGTGATCACTATTGGATCTTCTCAGCTGGGTTCCAACAATCAAAGTCGATGAGGGAAGCTGAATTTGCTTAATAACTGTGTGATACATTTAACAATTAGAATGATTCACTTAACAACCACAGCAAAAAGGTTGTAAAACTGGTTGTAAAAACTCACTTAATGATCTCCTTGCTTAGCCACAGAAATTCTGGACCCAATTTTGGTTGTAATTTGAGGACTACTTGTAGATAATTACTTTCCCAGTGCAGAGGAGTCAAGTCTAATTTTACAATGCTTCCCATTCTGCCACTGTGTGGAACACCAAGGGAAATTCTTGCCAGAAGAAATGAGCAAGTTTCATGGGGACAAACCTTAATGCCAAATCAACTCTTCAAGGTGGGGTGTGTAGCAGAACATAATTATCCTTTCCAATTTCTCTGAATTTTGCAAAGCAGTCCAGCAAGCAAAGCAGAAAAAAAGAATGTTGCAAAAAGTTGTTTTTCCAAATATGTGCATTTATCATAGATAGGATAGAAAAAAATTCTATGGCTGTGGAAAAATGCAAATAGTAAAGATAAAGAAATAGTGATAAAGAATGAGAACAGGAAGTCCTTGATTGAGGAGAGGTAATTGATTTGTCTTAATTATGAAATTCTGACCGCAAGATTTTCACCCAAATAAGTTACATGAAATGCGGTACAGTATTCTTATATATGTCTTCTATCTGTACAACTGAGTCCCACAGTTATTACAAGTTGTTACAGGGCCAGTAGAATCTGACAATACTAATTCAATTAGAATCGTAGACATTTTTGCCATTTTGATCACTACTTTAAAGGAAATAACCCTGCAAAGCATATTGCAATCAGAGGTTTGCTTGGCATAAGTAAAAAAAATGTCTTCTGTGCTTACGAGGTCTAAAATATATTATTATGATACAGTCATAAATAATCTGTCACGAGAGATGCATTTATTCTGAACTGGGGGAATTTATGGTGTCGTATTGTCATTTTCCTTTTATTTTCTTTTGACATTTATCAATTTTCTTCTCCGCATAGCCCCAGTAGTGCTGATCTGGCCTAACAATCTGAATGCAAGAAGTAAATTAAATGTGCAATACGTACATTTTCAATTCCTAAATGCAACTCAGCCAGCCTTGACATTCAGTATAGCAACTCACTCTAATGATAGAGCTACTTATGATATTTTATGAACATTATCCCACAGCTTTCACTGGGCATTAATGTATACTCCCAAGCTACATTCTGTTTTTGAAAAAAAAATAAATCTGTAAGTATTTATTGAACAAGTACTGCCTGAGGCTCCTAACTCCTCTTCCCCTTTCCATATACCTGTCTGGAAATTATTGCCAGCATTTGTCAAAGTCCCTTTTATAGCAAGCAATGAAGTGATCCTTTCCCTGATGAACAAGAGAACCATGGATCTACCTTGCTGAATGACCCTCAGTGAGGTCAATTTTTGCACTTTAGGCAATGATTGATTGCAGATAGTGAGTGGCACTCCTTTAGTTGCTTCCTTCTGGGATTTGGTCAGATATTTGATGCTTCAGGCAAGTTAGGAAGTTCATAAAGCTAAGTGTCTTCTATAAATGCAATTGCACTGCCAATGATAATATAGCAGCTGAATTGATCCTCTCCTATAAATATAAGATATCATTTCAGAATCACACCATAACACAATTTAGTATTTATCAAGTCAATTCAGTTAAACACCATATGGATGTTGCTTGGCAGATATAATCCTCTAGGGTATAAAGTTCCTTGACTTTGGAAGGTCTGTTAATTGAGGGAATGAGAGCCAGAAGCAAAGGAATCCCATTAAACCAGTCTCAAGAAAGTGAAATGTGTCGAATAATAATAATGTATGGAGCAGAATATGCAGGAGTGAAAGGGAAGGATGGAGTGTGGAATAACAATCACCATATCCCCAAGTTTACCCCTCCTATATAAAATCAGTTATAAAAACATGATCAATCCACCACCCATAATGAAATTATGACATAGATCTTATTTTGGACCAGCCTATCAGGGAGTAGGGTAGGGTAATAGGGATACCAGGAATTATTTAGTTAAGCAAAGAATCCAAACATGGTAGAGAAGATGATTTCTAATTGAGATTCTCCTTGCTTAGCTTACATTCTTCTACTCATAATGGGAGGTCTCTGTGCCTCCAAGCTATCCATCCTCTTTTCTAGGCAAATTAATACCATAGTATTCCACCCCCCCCCCCAAAAAAGTCATAAACTATCTGAGCCTGATCTTGGTAAACCTTAAATCTGAAAATTTCACAAGATCCTTTACCAGGATCTTCAGACCTCAACAGCCCAACAAGGTTTTTAAGGTTAAGAAAATAAAGGGGATGTTGTTGGTGGTTTATGTGTGGATAAACATGTCCACATGACATGTGTTAACCCTATTCTGAGACACCCAAAAAGCTTCTTGGATGAGAAGTGAAATATTTAAAGGAAAAAAAAAAACAAGAAAATCCAGTCACCTTTTGGAAAAGCACCTTTGGGACAACCATGACTGGATGTTTGAGAAGCTCCATAGGCATCCATTCTTAGAGCTATCACTATATCTCCATGATGGCAAACCTATAGCACGCGTGCCACAGGTGGAACACATAGCTGTATCGGTGGGCAGCTCAAACTCAACCCTTCCAAGACCGAGTAGCTGTGGTTCCCGGCGTCCCGGTATAGTCAGCTGGCTCCGTCGCTGACTATTGGGGGCGAGATCTTGCCCCCCTCAGAGAGGGTTCGCAACTTGAGTGTTCTCCTGGATGCACAGCTGTCTTTCGAAGATCATTTGACGGCCGTGGCCAGGGGAACTTTTTATCAGGTTCGCCTGATACGCCAGTTGCGTCCCTTTCTGGACCAGGATGCCTTGCGCACGGTCACTCATGCCCTCGTCCCGTCCCGTCTGGACTACTGTAATGCTCTCTACATGGGGCTCCCCTTGAAGAGCATTCAGAGGCTCCAACTGGTTCAGAATGCGGCCGCGCGGGTGATTATGGGGACGACATGTTGCACCCATGTAATACCTCTCCTGCGTGAGCTGCACTGGCTCCCGGTGTCTTCCGGGTGCGATTCAAGGTGTTGGTCATCATCTTTAAAGCGCTCCATGGCTTAGGACCTGGGTATATACGAGATTGCCTTCTGCCACCGATAGCCTCCCACCAGCCAATATGCTCCCACAGAGAGGGACTCCTCAGGGTGCCGTCGGCCAAACAATGTCTGGCGACACCCAGGGGGAGAGCCTTCTCTGTGTGGGGAGCCCTGCTCTCTGGAATGAGCTGCCCCTAGAGGTTCGTATGATCCCTGACCTGTGTACCTTTCATCGTGCCCTTAAGACTCTTTTGTTCCAACAGGCTGGGCTGGCTTAATATGAATTTTAAATTGGGTGTTTGTTAGCTTTTAATCTTGTGGGCCAAACTTTATATATTCGTTTTAAATTGTTTTTTAAATTTTGTGAGTTTATATGTGTTTTAATATGGCTGTACACCACCCTGAGTCCTTTGGGAGAAGGGAGGTATAGAAGTTTAATAAATTCAATTCAATTCCATTCCATTCATGCAAGCTCAGCTCAGGCGCACATGTGCCCAATTGCCAGGTGATTTTCAGGCCTTCTGGGCCCACCAGAAGTAGGGAAACAAGCTGTTTCCTGCCTCCGAAGGGCCTCGAGGAAGCCTTTCTAGGAGTCTGGGGAGGGCAAAAAGGCCTTCCGCACTCCCCCGGAGGCCCTTCGGAGCCAGAAATGGCTCATTCGCCAACTTCCGGTCCCACCGAAAGTTGGCAAATGGGCCATTTTTGGCCTTTGGTGGGTGTCTGGGGGGGGCATAAGGAAGGCCATTTTCACCCTCCCCAGACTCCTAGAAAGGCTCTGGAGCCTGGGGAGAGAGAAAAATGGGCCTACCAGGCCATCACGTGCCAGGAGTGGGGGGAGTGGGAAGGGGCCGCATGCATTGGGGTGGGGTGCATAGAATTATGGGTGTGGGCACGCACGCGTGTGAAACCCCCCCCCCCAATGCTCTCACCGCTCCTGGCACACAATGGCAAAAAGGTTAGCCATCACGACTATATCTCATGACAGAATAAACTTACCCCAGAAAATTTAGGCATCTTAATGAAGGAAAGCATTTTGGAGAAGAATCTCCTGTCAAGCCAGTGGCACTGAAAAAAGACATCTATAAGACCTGAATATATGTAATACTGAGTGAGCTGAACAAGGTTCAGTCTGTATTCATTTCCAGCTGAGTACCTAAACAATGAAAGTTGAAATAAAGAAGGATTCATAAAGTTGTTGATCTTATTTTTACCGCTTCTAATTTTGGGAAGTTTGCAGGTAGGAAGCCTGGGAACAAACCTTTGAAAGTTGCAAATAATGATTCCCTTCCAATTGCTGCAAGCAATTCCAGCCAGTAAACATCATTCTTGACTGTGGCTGCATTTCTCTACCCAATATACTGGAAGCCAGATAAATATGGTGAAATATTTAGGGAATATTTAGGGTCTAGGGAAATCTGACATGAAACCTGAATTTCCAAACCATTGTACGTCTCCTATCAAGAGAAGTGCTAAAACCAACTTTCTGTATGAAAGGAAGTTATTATTAATCTTTCACGGGACAATGATTAATCTTGCTATGGGACAATTCTTATTGCT